GAAGAAGCAATGAAGGCTAGCAGGCATAGAGAAAAGGGGTGAGAGAGGCAGAGGAAGAAGCAGGGATAGCAAGTAAACTACCCTGACCAATGGCAACACCATCTCCTCTCATCATCCTCAAGAGGCTGAGGAAGGGGTGTGTGTGCTTTCGTGGGGGTTGTAGCTCTAACTCCGCAAATCATAGAATGATAGAGTTGGAAGAGCCATCCAGTCCAACCCCCTGCCATGCAGAAACTCACAATCGAAGCATCCTGACAGATGGTCATCCAGCCTGTTTAAAAAATTCCAAAGGAGACTCCACCACACTCTGAGGAAGTGTGTTCCACTGTCAAACAGTTCTCTCTGTTAGGAAGGTCCTCCTAATGTTGAGGTGGAACTTCATTTCCTGCAGTTTGAATCCCTCCCTCCGAGTCCTATTCTCTGGAGCAACAGAAAACAAGCTAGCTCCATCCTCTTCAAATATTCAAACAGGTCTACACAGTTCCCTAAGTCTATCCTCATGAGGCATGGTTTCCAGACCCTACATCATTTTGGTTGCCCTCCTCTGGACACGCGCCACCTTCTCAACATCCTTTTTCAATTGTGGTGCCCAGAATTGTACACAGTATTATTCCAGGTAAAGCCTGACCAAAGCAGAATACAGTGGGACTATTACTTCCCTTGATCTAGAGAAGTCATCCCCAAACGGTGCCCTTTAAGAGATTCTGGACTTCAGCTCCCAGAAGCCTCAGCCATGTTGGCCAATAGTCTGGGATTCTGGGAGCTAATGTTCAAAATCCCTTAAAGAGCACATTTTGGGGACCCCTGATCTAAACACTATACTTCTATTGATGCAGCCTAGAATCACATTGGCCTTTTTAGCTGCTGTGTCACTGCTGACTCATTTCAACTCGTGGTCTACTAGGACTCCTAGATCCCTTTCACACATGTCTCCTTAAGCCAGGTGTTCCCCATCTTATATCTATGCATTTCATTTTTTCTGCTTAAGTGCAGTACCTTGCATTTCTCCATGATGAAATGCATTTTGTTAGCTTTGGCCTTTTCCTAATTGATTTAGGTCATTTTGAATTTTGATCCTCTCCTCTGGGATATTAGCTAATCCTCCTAATTTGATGTCATTTACAAAATTGATAAGCATGCCCTCTATTCCTTCATCCAAGTCATTGATAAACATGTTGAATAGCACTGGGCCCAAGACAGAACCCTGTGGCACCCCACTGGTCACTTCTCTCCAAGATGAAGAGGAGCCATTGCTGAGCACCCTTTTGGTTCGGCTGGTGAAGCAAGGACTAATCCACCTAACAGTTGCATTGTCTAGCTCACATTCATTTGCAAGAATATCACGGGGGACCTTGTCAAAGGTCTTATTGAAATCATGATATGCTATGTCTACAGCATTCCCTTTATCTACCAATTGAGCTTCTGCTATGGCTGCCTCCCATGCAATTTGTATGTGCCAGCATCCATTTTTAAACACTCTCTTGCATCATTTTAAATCTTTTATTGTGCCAATGGCACCTGTAAGAGCCGTGTGAAATGAAGAGTACATAGCAAGTGCAGTCTGGCGAGATTATAGGTAGGCAGCTATTTCATGGTTTCAATTGAGCTGTATCCAACTTACAGTTTTTTGAATAGTGATGCATTTGGACTACAAAGACAAGCTCATTTCCAAATCTCTGCTTAGTTAGGAAAACTTTCTAGATGGCCTTGAGTTTTCATTTAAACCCTCTCTGTAAAGTGAAACTTAGTGAGCAGAGCTCTATTTCAAAAGTATAAGGATACATTTATTAAGGCACATAAATAATTTATGCAAATTTATACCTGTGGATTGGAGCATCTGAGGAGGGCCCTGTCCCATTCTCCCCCAATAGTGGCACATGAGTGCAGCTATGCTAATGTGGCTGTGTGCATGGCATGCCACCATTGAAAACAACGGGGCTTGAGGTCCCGCAATTTTTGGCATCGGTGGTGTGTGTGTCCAGAATGTGTCCAGTCATATCACTTGTGCTTTGAACTTTTGCTATGCTGCTCATTTAATTTTTAGATCAAGTTTATGGGGTAGATTAGACTAAGAATGACTACCACAGGAGCACCCAGTGAATTTCATGGCCGAGAGGGATGTGAATTAAAATCATAACAGAATAACTGGACACTCTAGAAATAAATCAAAATGAATATTCACAAATCCAATAACTACAACAGTTAATATACTCCTCTACAAATATTAGTAATGTTGACAGCATCCACACTTCATAAATAATCCAGGTTGAGACCACCATAATTGCTATGTGTCAATGATAAGGAATTCTGGGAATTGTTTTGTGACATTTGGCCTTCTCTCTGCCAGAGCGCTCTGGTGCCACAACAAACTACAAATCCCACAATTCCACAACATTGAGCCATGGTAGTTAAACAGATGTCAACTTGGATTATTTCTCCAGTGCGGATGCAGTCAATAAATATCTTATAAGGTTGATCTATTTTTCACTGAGGCTATTTTTCAGTGACTGCTGAGCTATCTTTCCTCCTCAACCCAGCAGGTGTTTGTTCACTTACAGAATATGTGTTAACAACATGGAAAGCAACTGAAGGCCTAAGCAGACTGCCAGAAATAGTGCACATTAAATTGAGGCACTGCCCTGGCTCAGTGCTAGGGAATCATGGGAACTGTATTTTTTTCTGAGACATTGAGCCTTCTCTGTCAGAGAGCTCTGGTGGCACAATAAATTACAGTTCCCATGATTCCTTAGCCCTCAGCCAGGGCAGTGCCTCAATTTAATGTGCACTATTTCTGGCAGTCTGCAAAGGCCCTGAGTCACTCTGTGGTCACACTTAAGCAGCCTTTTTCCAACCTGATTTTTGGATTTCAGTTCCCAGAATTCCTGACTCATGCAGGGGCTGATGGGAGTAGAAGGCAAATTTTTTTGAAAGATGCCAGATTGGGGAAGGCTGCACTAAAGATTGATCAGTATTTTTAAAAATCCTGCAGGATTTTCACAATACATACATAAAATGTCACCCTTCTACTCGGTGCTCATTAAACAAGAAGTAGTTTTTCTTCCACAATCTCTTTTTGATAAATGCATGATATTACCTTCTGCTTCTGAGTTTACATTTATTAAAACAGATTAAGCGTGCACACTAAGGTAAAACTGTTGCTTGGCAGATAGCAGTCAAATGGATATCGACAAGTTTAATATCGCTGTCTGTTTTAATGCAATGTAATTTTTAAAAATGTTTACAGGTTTAGTCTAACACTGTGTATTTATTAAAAGTACTGTATTTATTAATCTGAGCAAGAATGGTGCAGTGGTTTGAGCACTGGACTATGACCCTGGAGATCAGGGTTTGAATCCCTGCTTGGCCATGGAAACCCATTAGATGACCTTGGATGAGTCACACACTCTCAGCCCCAGAAAACCCCATCACAGGTTTGTCTTAGGGTCGCCCTAAGTTGGGAATGACTTAAAGGCACATAACAACATGTGTTAATCACTTTTCAGCACACAGGGTTCCAAAAGTGAAGTACAATAAGCCAGATTTTAAAACTATTATTTTTTTTAAAAACTGGGCTTTTAGGAAAAATTGAAGCTGATTTGAAGGATCTTCAAAGAACTGAAGAGGCCTTATGGGCTATCATGCCAACCCCCTGCTCAGTGCAGATCTCCAGCTAGAGCAATCTGAGGAGGTAGCTGGCCAGTCTCTTTTTGAAGCTATCCAGAGAAGAGGACCACTCATCCTTTCTAGGAAACTGATACCACTGCCAAACTGCTTTCGCTATTAAGAAGTTTCTTCCAATGTTCAATCAAAATCTACCCTCCTGTAAACAGCAGAGAACAAGCCTGCATCCTCCTCTGAGATATTTAAGGAGGGCATAGTGGTTTGAGTGTTGGACTACAACTCTGGAGACCAGGGTTCAATTCCCTGCTTGGACTGAAATCAACTGGGTGACCTTGGGCAAATCCCAGCCTTAGGGGAAGGCAATGGCAAACCTCCTCTGAATAAATCTTCCCAAGAAAACCCTGTGATAGGTTCACCTTAGGGTTGCCATAACTTGGAAATTACTTGAAGGCAAACAATAACATCTTGAAAAACCTCAAGGACCTTTGTGTTTGAGATGTTCAGGATATGGCTTAATTGTGTTAAAAAACTTGCTCCAACATCTCTTTACAATCCTTCTTGATGCTTTCTAATTTTCAGCCATCAGTTTGTTGTTTGGAAAGAAAAAGTGTTTGGAGAATCAGAGAACTGTTTAGAAATTAAAGACCTATATTAGTAGAAAAACTGCAAGAATACATCCCCACCTGGTTGAATAAATTTCAATTCCTCACATTTGAAGGTCCAGGAAGGAAGATGAAAATAGCGGATGTGAACAACTGGCTCCGAAGATAGGATCACCGAGAACAAATACAATATAATAGACATCACTGAAACTGGGTGGGATGAGTCTCATGTTTGAAATATAGTACGGTAATATCGGGGTATAACCTTTTAAAGAGAAATAGGCCAAATAGGAAAGGAAGAGGATTAGCATTATCCAGTGTCATCTGGGGGAGAGGACACTAGGCCCAGCAGCATCGGGCCTGGATTAAGAAGAAGAGCCCTCCCTCCATTACCATCCAATGTCATCTGGGGGAGAGGACACTAGGCCCAGCACCATCGGGCCTGGAATAAGAAGAAGAGCCCTCCCTCCATTACCATCTGATGTCATCTGGGGGAGAGACACTAGGCCAAGCACCACCCAGCCTAGAATAGGAAGGAGGGATGGGATTCGAATGTACCTGCTTTAATGTTTGTTTTGATGTTTTGAAATGCTGTACGCCACCCCGATTGCCTAGCAGAGGGGCGGGATATAAATTATTATTATTATTATTATTATTATTATTATTATTATTATTATTATTATATGTCAGGGATGTTTACACCTGTAAAGAGATCCAGGACTTAAATCCTGGAAGCCAGGTGCAGAGCATCTGGATAAAAATTACAGAGAGAAACAGCAGGGATATTTTTGTGGGAGTCTACTACAGACCCCAAGGGGTGAAATACTAAATAAACTGTCATGATCATGAATTTATGAGAGAAACAATATATAATAGCTATGTCAGATGTTACACTGTAATGATTTTAAAAGCAATACTCTAATAGTAACTTACTTATATGTTAATTCTCCCTTTCCCTCCTTTTGATTAAATGAACAATGCTTCTACTATCTATACAACACAACCACCTACTATCACTTCTCAAGGCACACTGGCAGCTGGCTAAGTGATGGACTCATGACTCAAGAACACAAGCCACTCTTTGCTGAACCCCTTGAAATTTCACCTCGAGCCCGCTGGGGGTGCAGGCACCCCTGGTTGCGAATGCCTTTATTAAGTAATAGTATGATTTGTATCATTGATTCTCAAAGAGTGGGACAGGACCCCCAGGTGGGGGGCACAAGAGTTTCTCAAGGGGGGTGTGAGACTTGGAGGCCTTGATCCCTCCTCCTCTTCCCAATTTTTTTTGTGTAAAATTTACATGTGTTCAGTTAAATATTGAATTTACTCAAATAAGACTGTTCTAATTTGAATGATGCGATTTCCTTAAAAATGTTAAAATATGAATATACATGTGGGCGAGTGCAAATACACACAAAACAAACAAAATATTTTTATTCATATACAACCGGCCCTTTCCATCTGCAAATAGCCCCACTCCGTTCTCCACAATGGCAGCGCAGGCACACAGGCGTACATGCATTGCGCCACCATTGAAAACAATGGTCCTGAGATCCTGCAGATTTTGCTATCTATATGGGGTGGGGGTTCGGTACGGAACCTCTGCAGATACGAAGAGTCAACTGTACTCTATCAAGGGGGAAGATGCAATGTCGGCATGTAGATGTAAAGGGGGTCCCAAAGGCAAAAAGTCTGAGAACCAATATTACATCGGCTTTATATATGTGTGTGATTTTATTAGTACAGAGATACACAGCATGCCTGCACCAACCGCGGGCTTGCCATACAGTTTGAGCTTCCACGGAAAAAGCCCCCGCTTTTTCAATCGGCACACACGCATGTGGTGGCGCAAGTGGGAGCGCGCACCCATTATAAAGAACGGGACTTAAGGTCCTGCATTTTTTTATATCTGCGGGGGGCCAAAACAGATCCCCCATGGATAGTAAGGGCACACTGTATTGTGTTTTGATATAACTACATGGCCATGGAAAAGTGATATATGAATGAAAAAAGAAAAAAGAAAATTGGAAGCCACTTCTTTTTCTTTCTTTTTTAGTGATGTATCTTGTAATTTTTGTTTTATTTCTTTTTCCTTTTTTATATTTTATGTTTTGTTATTAAATGCAATTCTTTGTTTCTTTTTGTATTTAATTTTTTTTAAAATCTGGAAAAAAAAACAACCGAACTGCAATTCAGAAACAAACCAGCTTGAACTCCTGTATGTGCAATGGGGATAAAACAATGACGAGAAAGTAATTTGCATTTTTAATTTGCAGTATACAGCTACTAAGAGTACTATCCTTTCGAAAGCTTGAGCATACAGTCGGCCCTCAGTTTTCTCAGGGAATCCATTCAGGATTCCCCCCCCCCCGAAAATGGGAGAATCACCAATATTAAGGCTCATAGGCTTGAACAGGGCTTGGTCATAGAGACACACATCATTGATTTCAATAGCGTTCGCCCCCCATGAATATTCAAAACCGCAGACCTCAAGTCCACGAGAACAGCGGGGCGACTGTATTTGTTTTCTTATTTGTATTAATTTCAAAGAAGCTCCAATACTCTAAATGGCATTATCTCTGTACCATCTCCAAGTGCACCTCTTTGTGACCTGTTGCACATGTGTACACACATAACCACTCCTTCCCGCTCATCAAAGGTTCTACTAGGCACCACAAAGAGAAAAGGCAGGTCTCTTCTCCCTCAAAAGAAAAGCTAATGACAAGAACTAAGCTATGTGTCTGTATGTGCATTCACGTTTCCCATAACTTATGGAGAACCTTTGAATTTCGCAAGGGTTTAAAGAAGCTGTAGACCTCAACCTGATTTTATAGGCTTATTTCCTACTATACCATGCATTGCACTAAGAGACCTAACCCCTCCTACCCACTCTGCATGTAAATCCTTCACAGGTAATGCCTTCCTGGGCCAACTTAAGGTGAGCATCAGACTCCTCTAGAAATTAATTCGTTTGTTGTGTTCCTTCAAGTCCTTTCTGACTTATGGCAAGCCTAATGTGACCCTACAATGGGGTTTTCTCAGCAAAATTTGTCCACAGGAGTTTTGCCATTGCCTTTCCGAGGCTGAGAACGTGTGACTTACCCAAGGTCACCCAATGGGTTTCCATGGCTGAGCTGGGACTCTAACCCTGGTCTCCAGAGTCACAGTGTAATACTCAAACTACTACGCAAGGCTGGCTTGTAGGGCTTTGAAAAAGTTCACTCAAGCCATAGCAGATAGTATACTATGCCAGTATGCCATGCTGTCTCTTGAATTACTGTACAGTACTACACTAATGCATTCCCAGGGCTCTATAAGTGCTCCAGGAGGATTGAGAAAATGCTGCTCCCCAAGCAGAAGCCTCAAGGAAATTTCCTGCAGACAGATTTCAAAGACTCCCTTTCTCTTCTAAAAACAAGAAGTCCAAGGCTCAACCTTGCCGAGAAAAAGGTGTGTGGGGAATAGCCATTTATTTACTTTTTGTAAACCAGGCATGTTCCAGTGTCAGCTTGACATACAGGTAGAATTTGAAGATACAGCTGTGTTAGTCTGTAGAATCAGTATGTAGAGAGATCTTGTAGCACCTTTAAGACTCACTGAAAGAAAGAAGTTGGCAGCATAAGCTTTATGCATCTGATAAGTATATGCATCCACTGTATGCATATGAGGAAGCATATGCTTCCACTATATGCATCTGAGGAAGTACATTTGCCCCACTGTTTTCACGGGGGATCCGTTCCAGATCCCCCCACAAAAACGGAAACTCACCAATATTCAGGCCCCATTGACTTGAATGGTGGCAGGTGCCCGTGGGTGCGCACCCCCATTATGTGCCCGTTTCCTGCCCAGATAGGTGCGGGACGCTGATTTGAAGCCAGCGAAAACAGAGGGGCGAGTGTATATGCATCCACTATATGCATCTGAGGAAGTATATGCATCCACTATATGCATTTGAGGAAGTTTATGAATTTACTATATGCTTCTGGGGAAGTATATGCATCCACTATATGCATCTGAG